AGCAACAACAACTGTTTTCCTTTACGTAGAAAACGCGTAGGACTGGTACAGTTTTGTTTTGGTGCTGTGCATGGAAAATAATCTTCTACCTTTTAGTTTTTGATTTTTGATTTCTGAGTTTTATGTGAGGACTCAATCAGGGTCGTCAAAAGAAGGCCTTGTTCAAGCAATTCCTCACTGCTGAACCGCACATGACCTATCAGAGGATTTCTGATGCTCATGGGAACTCAGTTCAGGACTTTGAAGATTCTTTCAATGAATTCATTTGCGAATACAGTGGTGAAAATCCAAAGTATCAGGCGAACATGTATCTCTTTGATACTTCCAACCACATTCGCAAACTGTATAATACTGCAATTGGAATTCATGCAAATCGCTTGAAAACTCTATTTATGTATCATGATATGCTTCCTAGAAATTTTTCCAACGTGAACGATGAGAACGATCCGGGTCAAATTTGGAAGAGAAAGCTGGCACTGTTTTGCTCCTTTCCAATTGATTGGCAGGGAGATTTTATCAAGTCAATAATATTACATGGAAAGATATTGTCAGTTGGATGACACAGAAGAAAAGAACAGTGGACAGGAAGAAACTTATGCAGGAGAGTTCTCACCGTCAAACTTGACCTGGTAATCGAACAGGTGGTAGAGGCTTTCACCAAAATCGTTTTGGTGGTGGTCGTGGGCATGGTCAACCAAGCAATGGTTATCAACCATATCCAAGATTGCTCATGATGAGTGGACAATTTCAGAATACTGGACGTGGATCCAATGGAAGAAATGCTGGATGAGGCAGATCGCTGCAAGGCCGAGGTAATGGTCAATACAATGGAAAGAAGAGTGGCAATGGTTGTTAGAATAAAGCAAAATGTGCTCTATTGTGAGTGCATTTAGCGCTCAGAACAAACTCTCTGCAATCTAAATTTGTAATCAACTATACAACACTTTCACGACAATAGTTCTCCTGTGTTAGGTATACTTTGAGTGAAATTGTTCCCATCTGATTAATGTTTGGCTTGAATTGATGATTAATCACAAAAGTAAGTTCAACGATTCTCCCTTGGAAAATCCCTTGTTTACAGAACTCGATTCGACTTCTACGAGAATCCTGTGTTGAATGCAGTACTTTGGGACATCTTGTATTATTCCCTACTGCATTGTACACAACATTGGTATCTCACTTGTATAGGGTCATTTCCTTTTTGTGTGGATACAGATTGTCCGACAGACTTGCGTCCGGCATACTTGTGTCGAATCCCGACATCACGATCAAAGTCCGATCCTATGTGTCAAAAACGTTGTACTTGAATAGTTTCTTTTCGGAACGTAAAAACTCATATTTCGTCATATCCCAATACACTCCTGCCATTGTGACAATCACCATTGGCAGCAATGGGACATGCTCTCATTCACTGTTTATTTTGTTTTGTATTTGCTTTTGAACATATACATACCTGTCTGACCTATTCCTGTGGACCAAGAAATAGATCCCTGAACTTGCGAAACTTCTCACCTTGCAATGGCTTAGTCATGAAATCCGCAATCATATTGTCAGTTGGACAGTATTCAATCTTAACATTTCCTTTCTCAACTTGATCTGTGATAAAGAAATAACGAATATTGATAGCTCGGCTTCTTTTGCCCGCGCTCTTGCGACCATTCTCTTCCAGTAGAATCGCGCTTTTGTTATCCTGATACAAGATATTCTTCTCGATCGGATACCCTTGCCACTCCATGAACAACTTCGTCCATAGTATCATCGTGACAACATCGTCAACAGCAATCAGTTCCGCTTCCGTACTGCTTCTGCTGTTTAGCTTGTGTTTCTTTGACATCACTTGAGCTGCACCTCCTCCAAAGGACAGAGTGCCGCCAGTATGGCTCTTGAAATCTGGATGCACCGCAAATGATGCGTCGATCATCCATTTCATGACTCGTAGTGAGTCTGCAGAAAGTGTCAGGTGATACAACAATGTACAAAACAAATATCGCATCATGCAAACACACTTCTTCCAATCAGACCCTGTAGGCTCTCAAACTCTCGAGGCAAGAATAGTAATTGTTGGATGGATATCCAAACAAGCTCTCTTAGAGACATAAAGTCCCCTTGCAACAGTATTATGGAAGATCTGACGGTACTCAGCACTGAGTAACTTCCCTTTACCAGCTTCCAGTAAATCGTTACCAGCTGGTGTTTCCTGCTTTGAATCCTTGTTGAACTTCCAACATGTTCTTGACATAGTCGTCCATGCGTATTTTGAGTTTTCCTTTCACCCAGAAATCCAAAGTCATTCCAAGATATCTGTGTATCTTTCCTCTGATGATTGTGCATGCCTTGATCGAACCAGATCTCATGTTCAACCACTCAGCAAATTCGTCATTCACTTTCAGGTCCATGTGACTTGACAAAAGATCGTCAACATGAAACCTGATAGTTTGGTGTTTTTCATTAACAACTTTGTTAGCAACACAATGGTCATACGGATAGAAAACAAATCCCTTTGCCTCCAAATCACTGTGAAACTGATTATAGAATAGGAAACTCGATTGCAACATCCCATATATAGCACGTAGTACCCGAACATAGATTACTCGCTTTCCATTCTCTAAAAACGTATTTGCGATACTCTGGGGCCATGTCAATCAATATCTGGACCATCATGCCAGTGATTTTCATGTAGATGCGATCTTCTCCTTCCCTAGCATCAGGCATATAAGTTTTAATGAAAGCGTTAGGCACGTCCAGCGTCATTACATCTCTACCTTCGTGTGCATCAATAACACAAGTAGTGGTGATTGCTTCTTGTGAAGCAGTTGGACTTGCAGTGTCCTCTCGCGATAACCATTCACGAGTTCCATCGCCTCGGAATACTAGGCGACCTTTAATTGTCTTTTCAAATTGCTTCTCCGCGAGTAACATCATCGCTGATTGGGCCTTCTTTCGCTCAGACGCGGTCATGTCTTTAACAAATTCGGGAGTGAAACAATCTCTCAGGATCATTTGTCTCAATTCCTTATCCACAGCATCCTTTCCATCGTCACCAAACTTCTTCAGTCCTTGATTGATGTAATACTGTTGGATGAAGTTCAGACCTTCTTCAGTATCAAACTTGGCCTTGATCTGCATCATGCAATGAGTGACCAGAATAGCATTGTGCTCTTCATAATCAGCTTTTATCTCGTTCCCAATCTGTTGGAAACATAGATTGTGCTGTGCTTCAAGGATAGCTTTACTGTCTTTAGTACTGCAACTTCCTTCTTTGGTACAAGTACCAGATTTTAACTTGTTCTTCAACGGTTCCAATTCCCTCTCTTGATGCTTGCGTCTTGTCGCAACTCGATTCTTGTTCTTATTGCAGCTTGCGCATATGTTTGCCCAGATTGAGTGACGTTTGTTACTTGAGGCGTTTCAGGCTCAAATACAATCTCTTCTTCTGGCGGTTCTTGTAGGTCCTCCAGATCAGTAACGAGGCTCCCAATATCATCGGTTCCTCTATCGACATTTTTTTGATGGTGATCCAAATCGGCCACAATAGGTTCTTCCTCTTCATCGCCTTCATCACCCAAATCGTCGTCATCTGATTCATAGTCATCATCCCCTTGGAATCTGACAGTGAGTTCCGGCATATCATCGACATCATTGTCTGCATCTGCCAAGAGCTCTTTCCTTTCGGAGTCATCGATATCATCGAATTGTCCACGTAGATTGAAATCACGTTCATCTTCATCTTCAGGTTCATAGTCCTGATCAAAGGCTTCTTCTTAGTAACCTTGTTCCGTGTCATCCACTCCTGCGATTTGATCGCCATCTTGAAATGTCTCCAAATCTCTCTTCTTATCAAAGAACTTCATGGGAGTAACACCTTTGGCAGCAGCCCAAGCTTCAACACGCTGGATTACTTGGACAGTAACGGGTAGTACAACGACCTTGGGTCGGGAAATCATCTTCTTAGTATTGAGGTTGAGCACTTGGTGCCCAGTATGTTGTCCCTTTGTAGGTTCAATGTAAATTGCTTTGATACTTCGGGGTTCCATCGAATTGCTGGAATCCGTCCCAATTGCATGAACATATTGTCCAAGTTCAGCAACCATGTCACTCTTGTAGATGATATTGACATTATCAATGAGTTGCTGCGGACTGAAATGTGATGAGATACTGTCTTTCTGGGGAATGACATTCAATAGCTCGGCGGCTTGACGTCCAAGACATTCAGTGATCACCTTTGGGACCACTTTGTAGGGTAATTGGGCAAGAGCTACTCTGACTCTTTCTTTCAACGTCCTATTGTTTTGCTCAGCGGTAGGCTCGTGGTCTCCAGCTGCAGTTGGGTCAATAGTAACACCCATATCGTCTAGCATGTCATCCGTGAGAGGATTGAATGCCCAATCACATTTGATCGTCTTGACTTGAAAGCCTTCCTTGTTGTAGAGGCGGAAAATCTTATCCAATGCTTCAAATATAGGGTCAGTCTTCAGCTTCTGCATAGGAATACATGAGCAATAACGCACAGTGGTATCAATGCAGGTGAGAAACTTAGCATTCTCAATCTCCATGTGATCAATACAGACGGTAAGAGATCGATTGTGTTGATACAATTCCTCTGGTGGACTGAAGAAGTCGTCGTACATCTTCTTCGGAGTTGGTCTTGTTGACTTGCCTTTCAATGTAGATGCATCAGGTCCAAAGATTGCTTTGGCATGATTGATTGCTTCTTCAGTGATAGGACAGTTCTTGATTTTTGGTGCTTGGAGCATTGAGTGTGTGCATTGCAAGTCTCACGTCCATTGCAGCCTTGACTTGTCTTGGAGTGAATCCTTCCTTGTTCTTTTGAACAGTTGCCATCTTGGAGGTCATCCCAAGTCCAGCATATCCATTCTGTTTGTTTGAAGAAAGTTCAAAATGGGGTTGATTATTTAAGTTGCTTAACTGGCGACGGTACATTGCACTTGTCTCTTTGGCACCTGGTTCGTCATTTGCTCCAAGTTGCTCCAACACATTCACACCCTTACGATTCACAAATTGCATCTTTCTGTTTCCATCACAATGCACAATAAAGGCATTGTCAACATCAGTATCCATAGTAATGCGGTATCCCGCAGCAATCATCTCGCGCATAGTAAGTACATTGGCAATTCCATCTTCATCGTGATAAACTGGACGCGGAAATCTTCCTAGAAAACCTTCTTCGTCAAGAACTCTGCTGCCCACGGTAGTGTGCATATCAAGTTCCTTCTCAGCATGACGGAGTCCATGTATGAGCTCACCATTACAAATGGTGGTGTTTGTGCAACCACTGTCCATGATGACATGATCGTACAACCCAAATGGATCTCTTTCCTTTCTGTGGCTTTGGATAAACTGCAGACCTCGATCTGCTTCAGTAGCAAGATCAGGCACATCTTCATTTTCACTAGCATAGTGCCAGTTGGCTTGAAGTTTGACATTTCCTTGTCGTACCAGCAGGACATGGAATAAGGTAGACATCATTGCCATTCTCATCCTTTTCCTTGATAGCATCGTGAAAGACATTTGACGTATCAAAATATCCAGTTTTCACAGCTTGCGGAGTTCGAGCTTGAGTTGCATCGAATCCTTGGCGCACTTGAGCCCCACTGAAGCCTTGTCGGCTGAGTTGCATTCCACTGAACGCAATCTCACCATTAGCATTCATTGAGTAAGGGACACGAACAGTGCCGCCACCTTGAGTTGGAATCTGCATGAGCTGCATTCCCAAAGGAACTTGCATCATTTGATTACCTGTAGTACCAGCAAGTCGCAAAGGTGTGTTAACGCTTCCCACAGCACTTGATGCTCCACTTGTGGATGCTGAGACTCCAGGAACTATAGCTGGAACAGTAGCTGGGACAGTTGCTCCAATCTGGTTAAGATTGAGCTTCTTCCCATAGTCGACATATTGATCCTGATTCTTCCATTGGATCTTTGGTAGCAGTCTGTCTGGGCATTTTGGAGACATATGATCTTCGTTGTCACACACATAACATGCTGCCTTCTTTCCATCCTTTGGTTTTCCCTTTCCTTTCCCTTTGCCTTTAACTTTATTAGGTTGGTCCTTTCCTTGGTAGAGGTTCACTCCCGAATTTTTAATCACATCCATGTGAATCTTCAACATATCTTGTGCTTTGCTGACCGTCTTTGGATAATAATCCACTTCCCTGCAATAGTTCGTCTGAAGATCAAGCATCAGAGGAGCTGTTCTCGTTCAATCGCAGTTGCACAGAAATCCTGTTGCAAGAGCGGCTTCAAAGATATCATCCTTGAACTTGTTTTGAGCAGCAGTATTGGTGCTAGCAATAGCAGCATACGCTTTCTTCTTGACTGCAAAATTTTGGAACCAGGCAACGCCATATAGATCTTGTAGGACTTCAGCCTGTCTCAAGAATCGTTCCTTGAAATGCATCAAGTTTTCGGTTGTTCCTTGCTTCATAGCAAAGAACTTTTGATTGGCTTCCCAGAAATCCAAAAAGTCATACTCAGCATCAGCACTCTTCTTCGTGAATCGTTCAATACGTTTCAAGAGTTTGATTGGATCTTCAAGAGTAGTCGTGAAATCGGCTTCACCTCGAAGCTTGATATCCATCGCCTCTGTCACAAACTTCAGCATGATATTTGATTTGACGGTTCTCTTGTTTGTCTCAAAGTAGGCTGATCTTTGCATGTTCTCATCGAGCTTTGCAGAATAGAGAATCTTGTTTTGGGCCATCTCTGTTTCTCTGGCATCAGCTTCAGTTTGAGTTGGAGCGTTCAATCTTGGAGCAATCGCATTGAAGTCGATTGACTTCTCATCGCGAATCGATTTCACCATGTCTTTGGAGCACTTCATTCCGGAAGCTTGGATGTAGTCAATTGCTCTTTCTTTGGCATCTTTGTATGACAATCTTGCCTTTCCATTGTTTTCATCTTTTGTTGAAAATAGATGTTTCACAACTGTTGAACTTGAATTGCTCTTGACTTTCTGAGGAGTCACACGTCCTCTTCCACCACCGGATGAAGAATGTCCCATCGTCAACGAATCACTCACTCCTTTGTAGATAAGGCAGTGCTGTTCTTGACGGATTTTTGTTTTGTTGCCTTTTGTGATTGAATGTTATAATAAAGCAAAATGTGCTCTATCGTGAGTGCCTTTAGCGCTCAGAACAAACTCTCTGCAATCTAAATTTGTAATCAACTATACAACACTTTCACGACAATAGTTCTCCTGTGTTAGGTATACTTTGTGTGAAATTGTTCCTATTTGATTAATGTTTCGCTTGAATTGATGATTCAACCACAAAAGTAAGTTCAACAATTTTCCTTTGGAAAATCCCTTGTTTACAGAACTCGATTCGACTTCTACGAGGATCCTGTGTTGAATGCAGTACTTTGGGACATCTTATATTATTCCCTACTATATCGTAAACAAAATCGATATCTCACTTGTATAGGGTCATTCCCTTTTTAAGTGGATACAGATTGTCCGACAGACTTGCGTCCGGCATACTTGTGTCGAATCCTGACATCACGATCAAAGTCCGATCGTACGTGTAAAAAACTTTGTACTTCAATAGTTTCTCACCGTCGAACTTGACCTGGTAATCGCTCAGGCGGTAGAGGCCTTCACCAAAATCGTTTTGGTGGTGGTCGTGGGCATGGTCGACCAAGCAATGGTTATCAACCATATCCAAGACCCTCAAACTCTCCAAGATATTCTCAACGGAATTCACAAAGTTTTCAACGTGGAGGCAATTCCCAGCAACAAAACCAAGGACGATTTCAGCCAGGACACCCCAACATTGGTGACAGAGGCCGTGGATTCAATGGCCAGCACAGTGGACGCTCCCAAACTGGCCGCTTTCAGCCAGGACGAAACTATCAAGGCAGAGGCCAATCACAGCAACAACAAAGTCAAAACTACTATGCTGAGTGGCACTACAATCAAGAAGCTGAAAGCTGTGCTGCGGAAGGCAGCATTCCTGAATGGAACCAAGACGGAATGTCTTATGGTGGAATGCCAAGTGCCGAGCAGTACCAGCATCAGGAACAATATTATCAAGCTGAACAAAATCAGCAATGGAATGTTCAATTCAACTGTGAACAAGAAGAATAGTATCCTGAAGAACAGGAGGCACAGGAAGATTCGCCGTTTTCCTTTCATGAAGAGCATTACTGACCCAAAAATACTTGTAAACTAACAGAGCTTCCTAAGCTTCCTAATTCATTTCTGGAACCTGATTTGTCTTTGTTTCTTTCAGCATTGGAAAAATTTGATGATGAAGATGGTCCCATGACTAAAGATGAAAAGGAGTTTCTTTTGAATGATTCTTTGCTTCGTATGCCTACGCCAAAACAAGACGTAAATTCTATGGAGGATTTAATGAGAAAAAAGAGACTTTCACCTACATCTTTGGTGATTTGGAAGACAGTTGGAGGAATTGAAAGTGCAAACGTTTTATGAGTATTATTTGATTCAGGAGGATCACATACGATGGTCAATGCAAGGGCGATTCCTAAAAATGCTAAGGTACAAAGTATTCAAAATGCAAAGAAGTGCACTGCTGTTGCTGGTGATTTTGTTTCTGACAAATGTGTAAAATTGCTGGACGGAGTAAGTCTTTCCCGAATTTGACAAACACCACAGAATTGCAGGTGTCGACGGTGTCAAGGCGAATGTCTTCAATTTGCCAACTTGTCCACATGACGTCATAATCGGATTTGACCTTCTACACGAAATGGGCTTGGATATCCAATTTTCAGTTCATTCCAATGAAGGCTCCAGATCATTGGCAAAACCACACCAACTATCCAATGGCTATCCAATGGCATTGGATCATGATGTTCTGGATATCCACGATGATGATGATGCTGATGATGCCTTCATCATGGATGCAAAATATGAAGCTACTTCAGGTGCTGAAGTTGCTGACAAGCAAAAGCATCTAACTGAAGATCAGCGCAAACTTTTGGCTCAAGCGTTGAAGAATACAGACGAGATTTTCAATGGTCAACTTGGCCATTACAAGCATGAGAAGGCGTATTCTGTTCTGAAGCAACATGAACCTGTATTCCTCAAAGAGTTGAAGCATCTACAAGAGATTGGAGTCCTTGAACGCACAGGACCGTCAGAATGGGCGTCGCCAACATTCAGCATTCCAAAAAAGGACGGTAGGGTGCGATGGATCAGCAATCTCCGACAGCTGAACAAGAATGTCAAGCGTAAAGTATACCCCTTGCCTTTGATTGATGATATTGTTGCGCATCGTTCTGGCTACAAGTATTTCACAAAACTTGATCTCACAATGATGTATTATTATTTTGAATTGAATGAGCCGAGCAAAAAACTTTGCACGATCAATACCCAGTACGGTTTGTACCAATACAACCGAATGGCAATGGGATTGAAACTGGCTCCTGATTTTGCCCGATACTATATAGAAAAAACTCTATGCGACCTAAAGGAAAAAGGTGTTGAAATCTATATTGACAATGTTGTCCTGTTCTCCAAGTCCTACGAAGAACATATGGCCTTGATCCAAGAAGTGTTGCAGCAACTACAAGCTGCCGGGTTCAAAATCAATCCCTTGAAGTGCGAGTGGTGTGTCCAAGAGGCTGACTTCTTGGGCCATTGGTTGACTCCTGAAGGTGTCAAGCCGTGGAAGACAAAGATTGATGCCATCCTCAAGATGTCAGCGCCTACAAATGGAACAGAATTGCTTGCATTTCTTGGTGCTGTTACCTTTTACCGCCACATTTGGCCGTGTTGATCTCATCTTCTCAAACCCCTTACAGAGCTCACAGGCAAAGGAATGTTTGAATGGACTGATGAATGTGCAAAAGCTTTTGCTGAAATGAAAGCTATCATGGCTAGCGATGTCATGATGCGCTACCCCAATCCAAACAAACCCTTTGAAATCTATACTGATGTGTCGGACTACCAAATGGGCGCTGTGATCATGCAAGAACATAAACCAGTTGCCTACTGGAGTTGTAAGCTTAATGCTGCACAACGCAATTACTCTGTGATGGAAAAAGAAATGTTGGCTGTTGTACATTGTTTGAAGGAGTTTTGGTCTATGGTATATGGTGCCCTATCTAAGATAGCCTACTGCCGTCCTCCGTGTGTGTGTTCGTAGTATTTTGTCTTGGTGTGTAGCTGGTGGGTTGTGGTGTGAAGCGGGTCGAACTGATCGAGTAATAGACTCGATTCGTTCGACCAATCTCAGAAATCCCGTGTGCGGTATTACTGAGATCTGCTTTCCTACCAGGCACCGCCGATATGGTAGAATGGAGGCGGTGCCCAACAGGGCGGGTGAGGTTTGGGAGAGAAAAATTGAATTACCACAACACAAGTGGGTGAATTCAATCTCAGTCGATAAACTGGGCATCATTTGCCTGGGCGCATCGACAACAACTTTTGACGGTCAAAGGCCGTTCGGCCTTTGTCCGTCTGTAACACAATGTAGTCAAAGAAATCGAACAGTGTGCCTGCGGTCTACGTTGGAAAATTAACTATTTTTACTATTCATAAAAATCTCACAATGCAAAAGTTGAACACACAACAAGTTCTTTGTTGGCGTATGTTTGTTGAAGAATTTGGCCCAGATTTCGTCTATTTGCCTGGAAAAGATGACTCGATTGCCGACTGCTTCTCTCGGCTTCCGCGAATGGAGAAACCGTGTGAAAGGAAGAGTACAAAAAGGGTAAATTGATTGCGTTTGATAAATTACAGGTTTCTGTTGATCCCAAAGACAAAATCTACACGTTTGAAGATAATGTTCTAGTAAAGGAAAATGATTTGATTGCACCACCAACAGAAGCCGAATTCAACTGTACCTTTCAATGTCAAATCTCCTGTTGCCAAGATGGAGATATTTATGAACATCTGACCATTGACAACATCGAAATGGAAGAGTCCTTTTTTAATCATCCTCCTCTACAAACGATGCCAAACCCAATCACAATGCCACATTCAACAACATCAAACTCAGGACCAACTGCTCATGTAATGAGCTCAACGCGATGCACAGCACTACCAGATCAAGACAATTGACGAGCGGCTCATCATCACCTACCCAATCGACCCTACACGTCAAGACAATTGGAGAATTTACTTGCCTTTGAGTTTGGTTGATGATGTGATCACCTGGTATCACCTTGTGCTTGGACACAGAGGAAAAACGTCAATGTATGCTACAATTGCAAAGCGATTCTATTCTCCTGGATTGAAGCAACAAATTGAACGATTCAATTGTGAAATTTGCCAACTCAATAAAGCGGCAAATGTTCAATACGGACAGTTACCTGAACAACACGCGGATTTGGTTCCATGGTTCTCCGTTGCTGTTGATTTGATTGGTCCATGGAAAATTGACGTCAACGGTAGAGAACTTGAATTCACCGCGTTGACTTGTATTGATCCTGTGACAAATCTCACTGAACTTGCTTTTATCAAGAATAAAACTGCAACACAAGTGGCAAACGTGTTCAAAATGCTGTGGTTGTTGCGATATCTGAGACCATACAAATGTATTCACGATCAAGGAGGCAATTTCATTGGCAAAGCCTTTCAAGCGAAACTTGCTACTTGGGGAATCCATGATGGCGTAACCACTAGCAAGAATGCGACTGCAAATGCGATCTGTGAACGAATGCATTTGACAGTGGCAAACATTCTGCGCACCAGATACAACAATGCTGCTCCAAACTTTCAAGCCGCTGTTGAAGAAGTCAAGCAAGCTCTTGCTGCTTGCAACCATGCAATGAGATGTGCTGTATCGACAGCTTTGATGAACAATACTCCTGGTGAGACTATGTTTTATTGTGACATGTTACTAAACATTCCTGTGATTGTTGATCTACTTTCTATGCAGCAAAAGAGACAATACAAGATCAATGAAAACTTGAGAAGACAGAACGCAAAGCGAAAAGAGTTTGATTACAGAATTGGTGGAGAAGTTTTGATCAAGAATACTGATGGAAGGAAGTTGGATCCGAAGTACAGAGGCCCGTATCCCATTACAAATGTTTATACTAATGGTACAGTGGAAATTCAGCGCACAGATGCGATCCTGAGAGGATCAACATCAGACGGCTTGTGCTGTTCCATCAAGTCTAATGGATGATATGCTTGCATCGCCCATTGCGTCAAGAACCACCTCTGAAGTTGAATGGAGGATCAAGTGGATGTAAGGACGCCTTGTGACTTTAGTGTATGATCAATTGACTGGCTCTGATCATAGAAGGGAAGAGTGTAATGACCTTGGAGTGACCTTGGAACTAGATTAGACCCTCTGGAGGTACAGAGATAGCTTTAGGTCTAACTCTCATGTCACCTTTTTTCTGTGGCTTTCTGAGAGACTCTATAACTTTTGTTGTGACCCATTCCTATCTCTTCTTCTAGGCTGGTTCACTATTCGAATAGCCATAAGGCTTAGATTGAAGACTACAAGAGTATACTCTCTCACACACAAGCAACTGCTGTTTGATTTGATCGAAAAACCTCGATCCTTTCAGATTTACAACAAGTTTTACACACCAGTACTTTTTCTACGATGGCTTCTACGCACATGCTCCGTCAAACCATCATTGTCAATGAGGGCGACTCTCCATTGGCATACAAGGCCAGGGAAGTCACTAATCCAGTGATGCAGTATGTCAGTTTCTTCGACAACAACTTTGAGCGCAAGCGAAAGGTTGAAGTTTGGAATGGTGCAAGTGGAAAGAATGTTGAACCACTCCTCAGGTCCATTCAATCCTTTCGCAACATCTCTTCAGAGTGGGGACTCAATCAGGGTCGTCAAAAGAAGGCCTTGTTCAAGCAATTCCTCACTGCTGAACCGCACATGACCTATCAGAGGATTTCTGATGCTCATGGGAACTCAGTTCAGGACTTTGAAGATTCTGTCGATGAATTCATTTGCAAATACAGTGGTGAAAATCCAAAGTATCAGGCGAACATGTATCTCTTTGATACTTCCAACCACATTCGCAAACCGTATAATACTGAAATTGGAATTCACGCAAATCGCTTGAAAACTCTATTTATGTATCATGATATGCTTCCTAGAAATTGTTCCAACGTGAACAATGAGAACGATCCGGGTCAAATTCAGAAGAGAAAGCTGGTACTGTTTCGCTCCTTTCCAATTGATTGGCAGGGAGATTTTATCAAGTCAAACAAATGATCCGGTGATTGACAATAATATTACATGGAAAGATATTGTCAGTTGGATGACACAGAAGAAAAGAACAGTGGACAGGAAGAAACTTATGCAGGAGTGTTCTCACCGTCGAACTTGACCTGGTAATCGCTCAGGCGGTAGAGGCCTTCACCAAAATCGTTTTGGTGGTGGTCGTGGGCATGGTCAACCAAGCAATGGTTATCAACCATATCCAAGACCCTCAAACTCTCCAAGATATTCTCAACGGAATTCACAAAGTTTTCAACGTGGAGGCAATTCCCAGCAACAAAACCAAGGACGATTTCAGCCAGGACACCCCAACATTGGTGACAGAGGCCGTGGATTCAATGGCCAGCACAGTGGACGCTCCCAAACTGGCCGCTTTCAGCCAGGACGAAACTATCAAGGCAGAGGCCAATCACAGCAACAACAAAGTCAAAACTACTATGCTGAGTGGCACTACAATCAAGAAGCTGAAAGCTGTGCTGCGGAAGGCAGCATTCCTGAATGGAACCAAGACGGAATGTCTTATGGTGGAATGCCAAGTGCCGAGCAGTACCAGCATCAGGAACAATATTATCAAGCTGAACAAAATCAGCAATGGAATGTTCAATTCAACTGTGAACAAGAAGAATAGTATCCTGAAGAACAGGAGGCACAGGAAGATTCGCCGTTTTCCTTTCATGAAGAGCATTACTGACCCAAAAATACTTGTAAACTAACAGAGCTTCCTAAGCTTCCTAATTCATTTCTGGAACCTGATTTGTCTTTGTTTCTTTCAGCATTGGAAAAATTTGATGATGAAGATGGTCCCATGACTAAAGATGAAAAGGAGTTTCTTTTGAATGATTCTTTGCTTCGTATGCCTACGCCAAAACAAGACGTAAATTCTATGGAGGATTTAATGAGAAAAAAGAGACTTTCACCTACATCTTTGGTGATTTGGAAGACAGTTGGAGGAATTGAAAGTGCAAACGTTTTATGAGTATTATTTGATTCAGGAGGATCACATACGATGGTCAATGCAAGGGCGATTCCTAAAAATGCTAAGGTACAAAGTATTCAAAATGCAAAGAAGTGCACTGCTGTTGCTGGTGATTTTGTTTCTGACAAATGTGTAAAATTGCTGGACGGAGTAAGTCTTTCCCGAATTTGACAAACACCACAGAATTGCAGGTGTCGACGGTGTCAAGGCGAATGTCTTCAATTTGCCAACTTGTCCACATGACGTCATAATCGGATTTGACCTTCTACACGAAATGGGCTTGGATATCCAATTTTCAGTTCATTCCAATGAAGGCTCCAGATCATTGGCAAAACCACACCAACTATCCAATGGCTATCCAATGGCATTGGATCATGATGTTCTGGATATCCACGATGATGATGATGCTGATGATGCCTTCATCATGGATGCAAAATATGAAGCTACTTCAGGTGCTGAAGTTGCTGACAAGCAAAAGCATCTAACTGAAGATCAGCGCAAACTTTTGGCTCAAGCGTTGAAGAATACAGACGAGATTTTCAATGGTCAACTTGGCCATTACAAGCATGAGAAGGCGTATTCTGTTCTGAAGCAACATGAACCTGTATTCCTCAAAGAGTTGAAGCATCTACAAGAGATTGGAGTCCTTGAACGAACAGGACCGTCAGATGGGCGTCGCCAACATTCAGCATTCCAAAAAAGGACGGTAGGGTGCGATGGATCAGCGATCTCCGACAGCTGAACAAGAATGTCAAGCGTAAAGTATACCCCTTGCCTTTGATTGATGATATTGTTGCGCATCGTTCTGGCTACAAGTATTTCACAAAACTTGATCTCACAATGATGTATTATTCTTTTGAATTGAATGAGCCGAGCAAAAAACTTTGCACGATCAATACCCAGTACACGTGTACGGTTTGTACCAATACAACCGAATGGCAATGGGATTGAAATAACTCTATCTTTCTGTCAATACTTGCACACAAGTTCGATATGTGTAGATCGGACTTAGGTTGCTGGTGCAATACTGAGATGACGGTCGCCCTACCGTCGTTCATGGAGTCACTATTGAGTCCATTGGTTCGACCGCTTTCTTCCG